CTGTGGCTAGCCCTCCCTAGCGAAGGTGAGAAGTGGTCTCAAGCTCACAGATGTAGCACCAACTTCACGGTACTTAACAATAACTCTGCCAAACCCCACCCCGGAACAAAGGTTTTACTGGGGGTTGAAAGATTTGTGGTAGGAAAAAAAGACACGTCATGTTTATTCATAGGGATAAGGGTGTAAAAGTTTTGGGTGGGGAAAAGTCATGTTTATTCATGGGGATAGGTAGGCGTTTGCGGGATGTGTCCCATTTAGGAGAGGACAGGCTAACTGGGTGTGTGTGCAGTATTTCACTGCAAAGGCTTCTGGTAAATGCAGGCAAAACTTATTAGGGATGTCACACATGTGTCATCCTTCAGCATTCAGGTCCAGCCCCTCGCCAGCATTCTCCTCCACTCCCAAGGAAAGGTCATCCTTCAAGGTGAGTAAAACCAGTGTGTTACACAAGGGAGCAAAATACAGAGATTTTGGGATGGAGGGGAATCGTCTGCTTACATTAAACAGACTGCAAAGGTCTTGGGATTAATGAGTTCATCCTCCAAGAGGCCCCTAGGCTCCCTGTCTCAGGAAGACTTCCAAGAGGTCAAGTAGCAGATATTGGGATTGGGTCACATCGGGGCTTCAGCTGGGCCCATCATGGCTGTTTGGGGGTTTCTCCAGAATAGTATGAGGCTACAGTTCTTAGAAATCAGCCACCACTGAGAATCCCCTCTCAGAACATTTACTGAGCACCTCCTGTATATGTCCCGGGCACTGGGGAGCTCTGGTAGCGTAGTGGTTACGAATCGGGCTGTGAACCTTAAGGCCAGCAGTTCGAAACTACCAGCTGTTCCATGGGAGAATGATGAGACGTTCTCCTCCCGTAAAGATTTACAGCCTGTACAAGGGTCTCTATGGGTCGGAAACGACTCGATGGCACTTAACAACAACTGGGGATATAGTACAGAACAAAAGAGACTTTCTGTGGTTGAGTCTAAGTCTGTTTTCTTAGCAACTGTTTCCAAGAGGACCCCTGGGCTCCCTGCCTTAGAACTGCTCCTAGGAGTTTTCTTGGCTATAATCTTTAGAAGCAGGTCCTCCAGTGTTTACTTCATGGTGCTGCTGGGTGGATTCAAACCATGAACCTTTCAGTTAGCCGCTGAGCACAAACCATGTGTACCACCCACGGACCTCTGTATTGTTTAAAGTTTCTCTAATAAACATGCATTATTTGTATAACAGTTTATTTTTTGTTTTTATTTTTTCAGAAAAAGAAAACAACCAAGGGAAGACTTTTAACAAAGTAGAAATGGTAACCGCATGCTTCGGGATTTTCTACCCAGAGTTAACCGCGTCAAATTTTATTCCAGTTGATTCAATGTGAAAAGCAATGTGATAGGATCCCTTAGGCAGCTCCCCCTTTTGTTTCTGTTCTGGCCACTTTCACCTACATAGAGAATTGTTCAGGGACGGTGTGTATAATCCCATACTTGGTTTAGAAAATTTCAACCATGCAGTCACAATTTTCCATACCTGCACAGTGATTTTTTTTTTTTTTTAATGAACCCAGACACCTGAACAAAATCTTTGTTTGGGAATGCAAGATACATCAGACAGCAGAACTGAAGAGGACACCAACATCCTGAAGGAATAAACAAACCCCCTTTCCCCAGACATCAGTCCCTGGACACACGCTGGGAAAGAGTATTGAGGGATGAACTCCAAGCCTGGACACAAAGACCAGGCCACAGGCCTGTGAGGTGGCCCGGCTGGCAGGTGTAGTATGGAACTGGCTGCCTGCCACAGCAGTAAAATGTGTGCATACAGCCAGCTGCACATTTACAATCAGCTTGACGGTGTTTCCAACACAGGCTGAGGGATTTCGTTTTCCCCATATAAGGCAATAACAAGGATTTTAAATGGACCAAGCATTTGATATTAGTGTCAACAGCATTAGCACAGCTTCAGCTGGCAGAAGAGAGTGTAACCAAGAGTGTCTGTATCATTTACTCCTGAGAAACTGCCTGAGCACCATCTGTTCTCTATGTGACCCTTCCTGCACTGCACCCTGCCTGCTTCTGTGAGTCCCCCACGCACATGCCCCAAAGTCCTGGTGTTTCCTTGAATACAGAGATGTTGTTGTGGTTGCCTCATAGTGATGCCCTGGATAGGGTTTCCAAGGCTGTAAATAGTTGCAGGAGAAGAAAGCTTCATCTGTCTTCCACAGAGCGGCTTGTGGGCTTGAACCATGGACCTTGTGGTTCACAGTCCAGTATATATCTTCTAGAGCCATTGCGCTTGCGGCATACAGAGAAAGGAAAAGTTAATATCAACAGAGCAATTGGTAATACAAGACATCTTGTATTGTAAGGTTCTAATTACTTGTCCAACATTAACATGAATTCATTTCTCTACCCTTCATTCTAAGACTAGACTGTGAAACTTACTCTCTATATAACATGGAAGGGAGCTTGTTTACACAGCATGGAAAACCTAAACTCTTATACTCCAGGGTGTAAAAACCAGGGCTTGGAACTGGTTTATTTGGGTTGATTCCCTGCTGAGAATTTGCATTTCCACCCGTTATACAATGAATGAGAATCTACATTTTAACAAGATCTTGAGTTAACAAGATCTTGTTAAAATGGAGATTCTGATTAGGAGGAAAGGCATTGTGATTCATTACAGCTGGTGTGGAAATTCGAATGCCTCTTAGGATGTAGAACCTGAATGAACCAGTTTGAATCCTTGTAAAATCCGACTCATAAACTGACTCTTAGGAGGAAGAGGAGACTATCTGCTCCCATAAAGCTTTACATAAGCCTTGGAAACCCTATGTAGAGTGGATACGAGTCAGAACCGGTTCAATAGCACCTAATAACAATACCGTAAACTGACCAGTGCCCACAAAAGCTGAATAGGAAATTCTATGGAATTAGCCACCAGAAGTAGGTTGTTTTGTTGTTGTGTGCCATCCAGTGGGTTGTGACTCATAATGACTCTATAGGACAATATGGTGGTGGTGGTGTGCCATTGAGTCAGTTCCCCAACTCATAGCAACCCTGCATAGGGTTTCCAAGGCTGTAAATCTTTACGGGAACAGAAAACCTCATATTTCTCTCATAGAATGGCTGGTAGTTTCGAACTACTGACCTTGAGGTTAGCAGCCCAACTCATAACCATTATGCTACCAGAGTTCCTAGGACAATATAGAACCACTACGTTATGAGAGCTCTTAGGACAATATAGAACTGCTCTATAGGGCTTTGTAGTCTGAAATCTTTATAGGAACAGATCATCAGTTCTTTTCTCCCATAGAGTCATTAGTGGGTTCAAATCACCAATCTTTCTGTTAGCAGTTAAGCACTATAACCATTGTGCCACCAGGGAAGGCCCATTTCAAAAACCCCAAGGAACCACATATGATGACTACATCTGTGTCGATTTTATGGAAACATTGCTCTTTCGTGAAATAAATTGTTCCACTCTGAAATCAGAGGGAGAGTATTAACAAATAAATCAGGATCACATCAAGATCCAATAGAGACTACATTTGATCAATATGGACTGAAAATATTAAACTAAAAGACTGCTCAAGACAGAAAAGAATCCCTGTGTGGTGCCTATGGTTAGCACAGTTAACCCTAACTCAAAGGTGAGGCTCCAGGCCACTCAGAAGTGCTTTGGAAGAAAGGCTATGTTGTCTCTGGAACAGTGCTACGTATTGTCTTTCCAATGAATTGAGAAGGCGCAATTCACTTACCTTGTGCAAAAGAGGCTTAGGGAATTGAAAGACACGTTTATTAAGCATAGATGTCCTCCCAGAGAGGTTGGGAAGGGCATTCATCTTGCAAAAGAAGAGGAGGTGAAGCCCCAAATACAACCTGGCTGCTTCTTTGTATACTGCTTTTTCAGGTTCAAGTGTCTATACTCGAACTATACTCCTGGTTCAAGTGTCCAAGTAGCCAATCTGGGGAACTGGTTCATCTACGGTTTCCTTGAGACTTCTCACTCTGATTTCAGTTTATTATTAACTAACTTTATTTCTTCTTACATTCTCCTTTCTCCCACCCCTCTTAACTAACTTCATTTCCTCTTGCAGTCTCTTGTCTTCTGATCCCCACTCCTCAGAAACTCCCCATTGCTGAGGCTGGCTTATTTCTTGCTGATACAGGCCATACCTAGAGTGACTTAGACTCCTGGTGTGGCTCTGTGTGTTAATGCAATGGACTGCAAAACTGTTTGAACAAGCTCACCAGCTGCGCCTCAGAAACCCTACACAGGGCCACTATGGGTTGGAATCCACTGATGGTACTTAGCAACAACAAGAGTGATTTGGAGTGCTGGTGTGGCAATGTGAGCTAATGCGCTGGACTGCAAAGTCAATTTGAATCACAAGGTCGGCAGTTCAAGTTCACCAGCTGCTCCTAGGAAACCCTATAGAGGGTTGCTATGGGTCGGAACAGACTCTACGGCAGTTAACAACAACAATAACATAGTCACTTGAGATTCCTTTCTTTCCCTGTTCTAACTACCTAATAAATCTACTTCTGAAAAATCCTTATGGAAAACCCTGTGGAGCCAGTTCTACTTTAACACACATGAAGTTATCAAGAGTCAGGGTTGATTTTAACAACAACTGGTTGTCAAGAATGAAAACACAAATGCTTTTAGTTACAAATAAAAACAACCATTGATACAGAAATAGTTGAAAATTTATTGATACATTTTGTTTAAAAAGTATATAAAGGATTTATTTTCTTTTCCTTGTTTGGACACTAGATTAAGAAGATAAAAATTAAGACCTCTATAAGAACTCCAGAGTATCCCCAAACCTGCTATGAATATAAAAATAAGTAGTTGATTACAAAGCCAAGCCTGCCACATGCATAACTCTTACTGCCCTGGAAGCACCAAAGAATCTCCTCTCCCTCTCAATCATTCTAACACTATTGTAATTGTACTTCCAAGAAGACACAAAACCAATCACAAAAAAATAATGTAACATTTCACTAGCTTTAGAGATTGAATATGAGTTCAGTAATCAGCTCCCGAAAACATGCATAAATAATGACAGGGAGAAACCAGTCCTTCCCAGCTGCTAAATTGAGTGGATGGGCAGTTGTAAAAGTAAAAACAGTTAAGGCTGAACAAAATCGCATTTAGAAAAAAGCATGTCTTGAGGTTTTGCAAGGTCATTGTTGAAGTCCAGGCAAAAGTAAATATTTCTCACATACCCTGGAAAGAAAAGGAAAACAAAAATTACCACACACAGCAAAACAAAATCCAAAGCCTTATCCGAAATGAAGTTCCTTCAAAGGACCTTCTTATGACATGAGGTTTAAACATCCATTTTTAATTATTTAAAGCCTCAATGAAATGATGTCTTTTTCTAGTCGCATTGCATTTGACTCACTAAATAGTCTGTCAACCATGTAATGGCTTGTTGAGTGACATCTCATCAACTGTGTTCTTAGAGACAGGCCAACATGGGTCACAAATAATAGTATTCATGAATATTGTCACCCACCTCCATATTTCCAGCAACAAAGGATGAACACAATGGAAGCAGAGTAATCTAAATGGAAATGTGGCATTGCAAGAAGGTGACTTCTAAAGGGTGACTTGAAGTAGGGAGCTGGATTAAATGAGTCCACTCTCCCTGTGGAAAAGACCCAGGAACCCCATCAGACCTCCCACAAGGCTGGGCCACAGTATTGCTGTTCTCACTCATAATCTGCACAACTAAAACCTCAGATTGCCCCAGGAGTCAAGGCCAACACCCAACTGCCCTTGAAGACCCAGGTTTTAAGATTTCCCATTGCATTCTATGAAGCCCTGGTGTGGCACTCTAGGATAAGCCCTGGACTATTAACCGCAAGGTCAGAAGTTCAAACACACGAGAGCTGCTCTTGGAAATCCTAATACAGGTAGAAAGGCATTCTGATTCATTATATCTGGGGGCTGCTGTGATATAAACAGGGTCGCTATGAGTCACAACCAGCTCAGCAGCACTTCACCACCAACAACAACACCTCCACCACTTCCACTACCACCTCCTCCACCACCACCTCCTCCACCAACACCTCCACCACCTCCACCCCCACCTCCACCATAGCAGCAGCATTCTAAAGGCCTATCCTGTTGTTATCAGAGAAAAGCTCATTTAAAATGATTATTGAAATACCTCAACCCAGGTGCATTGGGAAAACAAATAGAGAATTCTTGAAAACCAGGATGCATTTTTCTAGGCATAAATCTTTAAATTATCAAAGAAGACATATTAAATAATCAGTAAATATTGTTACTTAAATGCCAGAAGATAGTTCTTAAGAGATCAATTCAATTTGTCTAGCCAATGTATATTTCTTGAGGACTTACTATTTAAGTATGGTATGACATTTCAAGAAGCAAAAACCTGCATCACTGTACCTACTACCCTTGTGAGGTTTCATTCGTGCTGTTGTTAATAAGAAGAAGAGTTGTAAGAAAGATGAAAAGTACTATGGTGAGAGGTGGGAAGACTAAGGCATTTCTTAGAAGACACTGAACTTTTGTTATGTTGCTGTTTGTGGTTAAGTGATTTTGAGTTGTTTCCAACTCATAACGATCCTGTACAGAATTCCCAAAGTGTGGCTGGTGAATTTGAATCACTGAACTTGTGGTTCAAACTGACCTTGTTGTTCAGACCAACCTTGCAATCCAGAACATTATCCCACATTGCCACGTAAATGATGGAAAAATTTGGTGACTTCAATAGTTCTTTGTCACCTTCCCATTGTTGCCAGACTCCTGTAATAGCTCTGTTTCCATAGGGATTAGAGCTGTGTGTTCTATCTAACACTCTTCTCTGGATGCCAAGTTCCCTTCCATATGTTATTTTCTTGGATTTAATTATTGGGCTCAAACATCTAAGCACTGGAGGACCTTAACTGGCAGCAATCTCATAGCGATAGAAGATGCAGTAAAGCAACAAAAATCAGCATCTTCCATCCCCAGTCTCCTCTTGCTTCAGCTTCAGGGGAAGAGCAGGTCTAGACTGGCCCTCAAGAGCCAGGAAGACTAGACTCAAGCATCCACACCAATATGGACCTCCACACCAAGTGTTCACAAACCTCTGCAAAGTCAAGCTCTGTCCTTGGATCCATCACCATCTTTATGCTAGAGTTTTCCAACACTGATCTCCAGCCTCTCCTCTGACCCAACAGAGAGTCCTTCACTAACAATATCTGTGAACTTTAAGACCTGCCGCCTCAATGGCACCCTCCAACCATCCCACCTGCCTGCCTGAGGACCCTGGGCCAGGCCGGTAGAAGGATTGAAGTGAAGAGAGACGTTGGAATGTGTGTATACCACGACCTTCTCTTTGATTTGTCTTACTGTTTTTATGCTTTAGAAGTCCTTTCCCATCCCAAGGTCAGAAAAAATATTCACCCAGATTAATCTCTCCTTTTCCATCATTTCATTGTACATTTCACTCATTAATCAACTTAGAATGTTGTTGAGTCGGTTCCCATTCATAGCGACCCTGTATAGGGTTTCTGAAGAGCAAGTGGTGGGTTTGAACTGTCGACCTTGTGGTTCGCAGTCCAGTGAGCATGACATCAGGAGTTCAATTTAGAATATATCTGGATACATCGCACAGTGTGGGATCTACAAATTAATTCATTAATCAGTTGTTCAATCACCAAACACTATATAACCCCTCTAGTCCCATTTACTTAGTGTGCTGCCTTTATCATCTAAGGAACCTTGGTGTCTCAGTGGGCTAGGTGTTGGGCTGCTAACTGAAAATTTGATGGTTCAAATTCACAAACCACCCCACAGGATAAAGATAAGGCAGTCTAAAGATAGAAGTTGTACAAGATGTGGGGAGTAGTTAATCTTACAGTCCAGGAACAGAGGACCCTAGGATCATCAAGGAAGAAGAGAACAAGGAGCTCTGGTAGCGTAGTGGTTATGAATCAGGCTGTGAACCGCAAGGTCAGCAGTTTGAAACTACCAGCTGTTCCACGGGAGAAAGATGAGGCTTTCTGCTCCCGTAAAGATTTACAGCCTTGGAAACCCTGTACAGGATCACTATGAGTCAGAACCGACTCCACGGCACATAACAACAACAACAACAACAACAACAATCCAGAGAAACAGTGACACAAGAGATGGGGGAAGAGGCAAGGGCATGGAGACAGGGAGCAGTTGAGGACTCTAGACTCATGGAAAGAGAGGGACTGAGAGCTGGCGGCCAGGAGGCTGGCTTGCAAAGTGTGCCCTTTGTTTAAATCATTATAATATTCCTGTGTGTTTTTGTGTACAACAACAACAAAAGAGGGAATCGAGGCAAATATGGTTCATAATGGTATATGGAGGGGACTGTAATCAATACAGTGAAACAAAATATGATTGCTTGAGTGCAAAGTCGATGTTCTCCCATGTAAACTATCAATCACTCAATTCACAATAAAAGCTTTTTTAAAAAGTTGCACTCCATATCACAAGCTGAAGAAATAGTGGTAGGTACTCTGGTGCTTTCATTGAGCTCATGGGTGGTATTTTCAGAAGATGAGATTTGATTTAAATAAATTAGCAACCAGTGTGTCTGAGTATGACTTGGCTTACATGGGTCAGTGTCTGGCTCTTAATAGGCAATAATAAAATATTTGCTGAATTGAATGAATGAATTAGAAGTCCTTGTTCCCATGTTGCTACATAACATTAAAGAATAAATCTAACTACTGTCCACAAGTCATTTTATAGAACTTTCTATTTATTATGGATTGAATTGTGTACCTCAAATACATGTATTGTAAATTTAAAATAAATAAATAGAAATGAGGCAGTCAACTTCTGTGAAGATGATCACCTCAGAAACCCTGTGGGGCAGTTCTATTCTGTGTGCTATAAAGTCACCCTGAGTCAGATTTGACTCTGTGACAGTGACTTTGCTTTTATGGGATTCTATTATCATCTATTGAATTGTTACATATACTAGGGTTGGATTCTTATAATGTTGACTCTTTTTATTTTTCCCATTTTCCCCCAAATTTTCCCACCAATATTTACTGTGTTTCTGCTGCTGAACCCAAAGTTGGTGGTCAGTATATTCTGTCATAATGCTATATGTTCAACATTGACAACAAAATATTCTTTTCAAAAAAACACTTCGAATTTAACACTACCATCTAGCATGCTTAAATATGAAATAAATGTATTTTTATTTTACTTCCAAAATAACTTGATTGTCATTCTTCCTTGAATAAGTGCAGAGGAATCTACTTTACATGACTCCTGATTTTAAAGTACAGGAGCCCTGGTGGGACATTGGTTAAGCACTTGCTAACAGAAAGGTTGGCAGTTTGAACCCAACTAGCAGCTCCACAGGAGAAAGGACCTGAAGAGCTGCCCCATGAAGGTCACAGCCTTGAAAGCCCAGTGGGCAGTTCTATTCAGTCACATGGGTTGGACAGTTCAACTCTGTCACATGGGTTTGCCATGAGTTCAATAAACTCAATGGCACCTAACAACACAACAATTCTAAAGTAATATATATTTATTTTGAAAATAACATTATGAGCATTCTTATTTTCTAGATTCTAAACTTTTGTCTGGAATCCTGGTACGGTGCTGTGGGTTAATGCGCTGGACTGCAAGGTCATTTTGAACCATAAGGCCGGTGTGATTCAAGTTCACCAGCTGCTCCTCGGAAACCTTACACAGGGTCGCTATGAGTCAGTACCAACTCAACAACACTTAACACTTGTCCATTTGTTATTTGAATATTGAAAACATATCCTCGGTAACAGTTTAGACTATGGCTTCAGTTTTGGATGGCATTATTTGATGAGCAGATGTTTACAATTTTAATGTAGAGATATTTATCTCTTTTTTTTTTCCTTATGGCTCATATTTTGTGTCTGGCAAAATCCTTCCCTAGCTCAATTTTATAGTCTCTTTTATTTTCTCCTAAAATTCATAAAGTCTTCATCTTTATTTATAAACTTTAATCCACCTAAAATGAATTTTTAGGCATTTTATGCTGGTACTCAGTTGTCCCAATAGGACTTGTTCAAGAAAGAGCCCATTTCTCTTCAGTGAGCTGTGGTCCTGTCATACATCAAACTTCCAGATTAGGTCAGCCTGTGTCACGGCCATACCACCTTAAATAAATGGCCATATTTGGT